CATCCGTAGTCCATCACTTCTAGAAGCTTCTGACATTTCTTGTGCACGGGAATCGCACAAGCTTGCTCTGTCCTCGCCCTCCCTCGATCCCTTCCCTACTCCCTCCGTTTGGCCAGCTCTGCCTCACTTTCTCTGCCCATTCTTCCCACCCGCTTTGCGGCCTCCTTCCTCCCTCTACAGCTCTGTCTCTCTCTGTCGCAGTGCCAAAGCAAGGAGTCTTGAGTACAATAATTTCTCGTTTGCTATTGAATGTGAAGCAGGAGCTGGTCTGCCAAGACCAGTACTACCACTGCATTCACTGCTTACCTATGAACTCCTCACCAGAAATGCGACTTTTGCCGGCAGACCACCCATGTCCAGCCTTGAAGCACCAATCGCTCTCTGGCCGTGGCCATTGTCAAATCTTCAGTCCGACAAACCGTTGACTGACAACGTGACGCATACGAAGTTACAAACCATGGAAACTGACAACGATACTTCGACGGCCACCCATGGATACCTGGGCCCAGAGACACAGCTTGAAGGTCCATCCAATCTGGATCAGCAAATGTTATGTCAACGGAAGGAGCGGCATAATACATACCCTGCCTTGTGGTTCAGTGGTACACAGCTGCAGCTGTTGATAAACAGATCATGTGTTCAAATCCTGATGGAAATCCTGATGGATACAATAATGCTAGGAACCAGCGCAGCGCCTTAAAACACAACAGTAGCGACATAATGTAGTCTCCAAGTGAAATTGGCGATGAGCCCCAAGAGTGTGTTGCAGGGATCTGCAGCATTCCTTCACTTGGCATCCTCAGGCTTGAAGCAGAGGTGGCAGCATATACGGTCCGGCGGACGCTGCTGGACTGTTCTACAGGCATGCCTAAGCGCTTATTTATATCTTCTCTCCTCTAGGACCTCACCTGTGACTTCTATCTGAGGCACAACAAAGTTCTTTCTCTATATGCTCTACTCCTCCTGCAAGAAGCTGGCACTACTCTCCCTCCTCCCCCTCCGTCCAAGCCGGCTCACAAAGTGATTGCCCGTGCAAGAAGCTGGCACCACTCTCCCTCCTCCCTCTCTCTCCAAGCTGGCACACAAAGTGATTGCCCGTGCAAGAAGCTGGCACCACTCTCTCCCTCCTCCCCCTCCCTCCAAGCGGGCACACATAGTGATGGCCCGTGCAAGATTGTTGCTTTTCAGAAACAGCAAAGCACCTAACGTGTAAATAAAATAAAGGAACCAAGAGACAGGGCTTCCACCCTCCCTCAACAAGCATCAGTCCAAGGAAGAAACTCGGGAACACAAAAAGAATTTGACGTGAAACACAACAAACGAATAAATATTGAGTACTATGAGTAATAAAAACACCCTCAGCGTCACTCTCTTCTGTCAAAGAAAGAAATGTGTGCGGCAACTGCCGTTAGCGCGAGCCAGACCCTCTCTCCCTCCTCCCTTCTGGATGAGCTATACACCACCACCTGGCCGTTCGCACCAAAAACTCTTTACGTCGCTGGTCGCTACAGTACGCTATGGTAACGATTGATGGCAGCGACACGACTACAGCAGCCCTCTCCACCTTTTGACTTCTGAATTTCGACTTTTGAATGCATCCATCAGCAATGTTGACGAAGTACCAGATATCATCTGCACCAGCGGCTTCTCCCTCTAGTCCAAGTCCGTTCGACGAACAACTTGATCGGACGTCTCTCTTACCTCCATCGATTCCCTCAATACTCCCGACCAATCGACTCGTCAACCTGCCTGTCATTCTTCACGCCGAGCAGGCATATATACGCCAATCGAGCAATTTTATCAGTATGCCTCTTTTCCCAGAAAGTGGTTCCACACATGGGTGGCTGCAGCATGGCTACTGGTACTGCAACCTTCGCCAACCTACATTCCGGTAGGTGAGCTTTCATCTTTCATTACATCTGCAGGATTCACAGACATAGGCATGCTCGTAATTTCTTCTGGTGACGAGTTCGCTGGTTCGTGCTTATTCGAGTGGCTGACGCTTGCCGGTGCAACGACTGATCATCCATAGGCTGACAGTTGCCTATTCTGCTGTTAAATACTAAAATCCCATGGCATTCGCTTGAGCAATCACGCACACAATCTTCTGTTAAAAGAAACATAGGCAACTCCACAATAGTAACTCCGCCTCAGCAAAAGAATCAAGATAAATCACAAACATGAACTATAATACGAAAATATTAAAATAATAAATATTAGAGAGAGAAAAAAAAAAGCAAGCTGCGCATCACCAACTGAAACGACTCTGTATCATCTGTACATCCAAGGGGGAGCAGTCGATCCTTACTTCCTTCGCTCCCCCGGCTCGATTTGCCTACCACCTCCTCCTCCTCTCCTTATACACACCAACGTTGAATCGGCAGCAATCTCCCCCTGACTCAGAGAGGGAACTTCAGCAGCGAAAAGGTGCCACTGTTATTGCCTAACTATCTTCATCATCACGTATGCATCCGACACTCCCTCCATTCTCGACCTGTGACTGTTCAGAAATCTGCTACTTTTCTGACATCTGCTACATTTCTGACGTAAAATAAAATGAGCCACTTGACCCAAACTATCGTTAGGACTGGCTCGTTCTCAAACCAGACCGACGACGAGTCAGCTCTCACAGGATGATCATCACGGTCGTTGAAGAATCAGAACAAACAAAGAATCTAAGTCTACTTGACTCTACTACTAAAAAATTAAAAAATAAATACAAAAAGAATTATTTAACATCGACATATGCCTGGTGACATCAACGTCGTTCCAGACTCTGCACTGATGATGATGACCATACACAATACATCTGTTTGCCTTCTTTTCCTTGCCAGAGCAAAACAAGGTCCTAAGGTCCGTCATGCTCCGTCCCACTGACACGTAGTTGCTACGTGTGACCAGCTTTGCAACTCCCATTGTGAGACCATGAAGACCCAGATAACCTTCTTCCTCCTGCGAAGAACTGCCACACAGAGTCCATTTCTCTCTCTCTCTCTCTCTCTCTCTCTCTCTCTCTCTCTCTCTCTCTCTCTCTCTCTCTCTCTCTCNTCTCTCTCTCTCTCTCTCTCTCTCTCTCTCTCTCTCTCTCTCTCTCTCTCTCTCTCTCTCTCTCTCTCTCTCTCTCTCTCTCTCCCCTCCCCCCTCCCTCTCTCTCTCTCCTTTGCAGCAATGAGAGTTCTAGCATCTAGAGAGTACAGGCAGGCCCCAGCAACGAATTGTCTTAACTGAAAACAAACACACCTCCATCGCTGTCTTCCTCCCCACATGGACAACTCTCCCGTTCGGCAAAATCATTCAAATCTCAAACCCGCTCTTTGCACCTGGTTCGTTGAAGAATTGCATAGCATTGCTAGGAAGTTGGGAACCCATTGTTGCCTTCTGGGATAACTGCACGTGCAGAACTCGTTCCTTGGGACCTTGGTATTGACAAATGGACAGCGGCGAATGTACAAAGCGGATGGAGGCATCATGCAGCTATTTTCCCTTAAGTTTTCCTCATGTCATTAGCAGCCATGCCAGCAATTCTTGTTGCCTCTTGTTCCTTTCCACAATGATTGAACGTTAAAGATAAGATTTTGTTTGTACAAGGAACATTCCATGGGAGAGTTCGCCCGCCGAACGACGACGACGTCTTGCAAACGATGATGCTATTTTAAGGTCTCTGCCTTCCAGCGCAGCTTTGGAGGAGCGCAAGATGGGGACCATGCATCTGGAGCAAGGCAAGACGCATCCTTATTACTGCAGACAATATATGTGGTAGGTGCGGGCTCATCTTCTGTGTCTGCAGTAGGAATCCCTGCGCACACAAAATCAGTTTTTCAGGGCATATTCAAACCAGTCAGTCAATTGCCAAGTGCTCCATGCAGGGAGGAGGAAGATACTATAAAACATGCTAAATGTCTTATATGACGGAGTAAATAATGATTTATTTTGAGACTCCATTCTCATTTTCAATGCATAATATGGACAACCTGCAGATCATCTGGAGGAGTGACCCCGGACGCACAGATGCACACTGATGAAGAACAACACCCTCTCCTTTCCGCTCTCCCATGAAGAACAGAAATCGATTCTCTCCCTCCCTCCCTCCCTCTACAACTCGCTACAACGAAACTCTCTCCCTCCCTTTCTGTTTCCCTCTCTCACGAAGGAGAGACAAGTGTTATGATTCTGGTTGTTTGCTGTCTGAAGACCAACACTCACTCACATAGACTTCCAAGTCTGCCCATACATACACAGAAGGAAGGGGAGAGGATAGGAGTATCACGCCGCACAGGGAGAGATAAAAAAATCCGGAAGACTTGACCATGCGATATGACAGGGTACACTGAAAGTGCAATTCACTCCACTTAATCCTCACAACCAGTCATAAAGAAAAGCCGAGCAGATCACATCCAGGAAACAATGAAACGATGATAGTCCAAACCCAGAGTCTCGAATTGTCAGGATAACTTCAGAACTACAGTGCGCTGCTCAGAAATGAGCAGCGCTTCACTCCCCAACCCTGATTAACACCCGTAACACCCCTGAGCACCTGAAACATCAAGCGCCACCCGAATACAGCCTCCTGAGGGAAGCGCCACCCTGAAACAGGCCTCTGAGGCCAAGCGCCACTCAGAGGATGAAGAAGAAGACCAGCGCCACAGTATCTGATGATTACGAAGTGTCGGAAGATTCCCGGGTGGAAGTCTGCAGCAGCGCCACCAAACCCTGACAAGATGACCTCTGAGGACGAAGCTGCAGTGATGGCTGCAGCTCCACCACCCTGGAACCCCACTCCGTAGGAGGGTCCAATAAGGCACCAACCTCTCTCGCCTCCAGCAGACCTCAATAGCCCAGACCTCTGTCAGCCCCTGCGTGCTGGCAGAGTACAGCGCAGGTCCCAGCTATGGCCGACTCTCCGAAGGTCTGGCTATGCCTGTCTCCTTCCACGCTCGGTACCAGCTGCCAAAAGCTCTGAACCGATGTGCCTATCCTATCTATAGACTAACCTAGCCTAGACTCGACCTAGACCGGACTGACTGACCGACCGCCGACCGGTACCATTTCTGTTTCGGCCTCTAGGGCCTCTCCCGACCCGGCTATAGGCTATAGGACCGTCTATCAGCTTAGGCCTATAGGCCCTGGCTGTCCTAGGGGTAACTCGGGTCTGCTATTCGCAGTTAGGTTAGCTGTAGGAAATTCAGTTAGTAGTACTTAGTACGGGCCTGTATTTTCCCGTATTTACAGATATCTCCCTCACGAATTTTCCTTACAGACAGGTCACACGGTTAGCCCTCAGCCAAACAAAATTACGAATCTAACCTAAGACGCGACCCGACCGAGGCAAGCCCCAAGCTTCGCCCTCGGCCTGACCTAGGCAAGCCCCAAGCTTCGCCCTCGGCCCCAATGTACAGTCCACTGAGAATCTGCAGGCTTCATTACACAAGCCTCTCTCCTTGCTTTGCTGAACGTCAACAAGCTGACAAAGCAACCAAAACTGTGGCTTATTTTGGGCTGATAGTGAACGCACTGCTGCAACTGCAGCCAAATACCCGTTCAGTGAAGATGGGGTGTCTACAAAGGTAGAAGGGTACCTTCCAACTCTGCCACTTTGTTCCATCTCTCACCCGCTTGTCTTACCAATACCTTTGTCTCCCAGGAATAGTTACCTCTCCCGCATGCCTCCTCTGCTTGGGACCCGTTTACGGACGATTTTTCGCCACTGTAGCGTGCAAACTGACCTCTGTGGAAGGCTTCAGCAGTTAGTCCGTGGAGTGCTCTCCTACCATCTTCACCCGAATAGAACGCCCGGTCATTATAGCCGTATCTGGAGTGAAAATTGCACCAAAAAAATACGGCTATAATGACCAGGCGTTCTATTCGGGTGAAGACGGTAGTTGATGTCCAGCAGAGCGAGGTGACAAAATGTGAAACATCGAGATCCCATCTTTGTTCTGAGAAGGTGGGGGCGAGAAGGAATCAGGGTGATGGACAAGAAGGAGGTAGGGTTCGGAAACGGGAATCCATTTTGACGAGAGCGAACATGTGGTGTGTGAAATGAGCGAAAATAGTGGTTGATGATGCGGATGAAGTTGATGACAACGTGTGTCTATGAGGTGGGAGAAGGCATGCGGAGGAAGAGGGAAGAGCGGTGGGCGAGGAGAGGAGGAGTGCTGAGGAGGGGTGTGAAATTCTGAGTGTTCATACCTTCCTTCAGAGGCGTGGGGCTTATCAACCCCCCCCTGCCCGCCCTTAGGGACTTCTTTGATTGAGACCATCTGCGAGTGCTATTGTCGCCCCCAAAATGATCAAAGCAATGACGGCAGCATGGCATGTGTGCAGAGGAATGACGAACGCCCGTGAGAGCCGACGAATGGACGCGCGGAACATAAGCGACAGCGACAGAGACAAACGGACAAAACAAGAGCAGCAGCGGAATCAGCGGGTTGCCAACGACAGAGTTTTCAGGAGTTAAAACAGGAGGTTTAAGGGGGTTGGAAAGGGAGGTGGGAGGGGAGAAAGAAGATGATGATTCTGATGGTCCATCCATACCAAAATGAACACCACCAACTGTCATCCTTACTCTCAGCCACTTATACTCGTCCCAATGGCAATCAATGTTTGATACCCAAACGATTCACCTCTGAGTCTCTGACCACATTTGATTGTCTTTGGCCACAGGACAGGCTATATATCCCACATAGCGAATATGGCGAACGGCGAGTGCCACGTGATCCCCTAAGCGAACCCTACACGAGCCATCACTTGGCACAACTCAAACAACAAAAATATTGCAAAGGCTACCTAACCTAATAAATCTTTGCGTGCAAAATAGCATATCTGAATTTCTGAAACCTTCATAGATAGGTGTTGCGACCACGATAAGGATGATGATAATGGATAAGATGAGGTTTGGCAGCAACTGAGATCTCATAATAGATAAAATGATGCTTGGCACAGCTGAGACCTCTTTCTCTGTGTGATGTTCCTGGCAAGCAAATGCTGACGGAGGTTGACAGACAGTGGATCCCATGATAATATCACGCTACAGACTACCAAGTGCATTCTCTTATCTAAATCCACTTCACAGGTGCTCCTGCAGTCCATCAACCCTTTCCCAAATGGCATGCTCAGACACAGGACTATACAAGCTCCCCACATTTGTGGGGTTGAGACATGGCGACGGTTGAGCATTTCTATCTATCACAGATGGGGATGGAAGTGGAAGTGGTTGATTCGCTCGCAGACGGCTGATGGCATGCCCTCTGGACGGCTTGAGCCTGGGTATCCTTTAACCTTTGTTGTTTTTTGAATCAAGGCCATGCAAACTCTCAATCGCACGCATAAAGGATGTTGCATAAGGGTTTGAATACTGGTTGTGCTGTGAAGGGTTAATGTGTTGTGTGAATGTTTGGGGTGAACATCCCCCTGTGACACGGTCGCATTGAGGCTTTGGAAACAAAGCGTGGCACACATACGACACCTGGTTGGAGAGAGCCAGCTGCTACTTATCACAATGACTGCAGAGAAGTGCACACCCCATGTTCAGACACATTATGACAAGAAGAAGGGCCTAACTTTGGAAACAAAGTGTGGCACACATACTACACCCGGTTGGAGAGAGCCAGCTGTTGCTTATCACAATGACTGCAGAGAAGTGCACACCCCATGTTCGGACACATTATGACAAGAAGAAGGGCCTAACTGAACACAGTTGCAAGCTCAGAGCAGCGTAGCCTGGACAGGTAGACACAAAACGCAGAAGGAGACCGGAGGTGAAGCGCACTTGCTACTAGTTCAGACATGAACGACGAGTTGTCGTGCCGAGGAGAAAGCAGCAGATAAGAGGTAAGACGGACTGAGAGAATGCAGGCAATGAAGTGTGAGAAGTGAACGGCTGCTGAAGAGGTGAGGTGACGAGTTCAAGGTGGAAGTTTAGGTGAACCCTCGCGGGCTTTGTTCCCATGCCTCCCGATGTTTTGTGTCGACCACAACCCTCGCTCACCACCCACTTTAAGCCGGAGAAAAAAAATGCATACCATCGCCACATGTAGTATCATATGCATTTGTGAGTAAAATGTTATACCTTTAATAAGAGGAGGAGACACATGTCTCTCTCGATTGCTTCCTCTTCCACGTAAGTGGAGTAAGTGCATTCACTTGGCATGCCCTTTTCCCGATCTCCTTCCGGACATACATGATACATCTGCATTCTCTTGGCATGCCCTTTTTCCGATCTCCTTCCGGACATACATGATACATCTCATTGGTCTCTCAAAGATCATACAGCTGAGAAAAAAGATCTCCCCGAGAGTTCCTATGCCACACCTTCTGTGTGTCATCGGCTACAGTCTCTCACTTCTGCACTCAATACCTGCAAGCCCCAACCCATGCTTCTCCTCCTAAGGGGATAACTTCCCTTCCCCCCCTTCCCTTCCCCCCGTTCCCTCCCCCGCCCTCCCCCCCCCCCCCTCTCCTTTTCCCTCCCAACCCCTCAGCCAGGTTATGCCACTTTGTGATGTTACTTCGTCCTGGAGCGCTTTCTTAAGCAACCAATGCCCAGATATGGGGCTGGTTAAGGAACGATCACCAGTGTCCACCTCAGAGTCCTTCATTATTACACAGTTTCCGTGTGCTGTACCTTCGTGCTTGGCTTCTCTTCTGCTTATTAAATGGAATTGTGCGCTTCACTCTCGCAATAAGTGATTAATGGTCGCATTGTGCAAATTCATATTTCTGCTGAGTGGGATGCCGACCTCTCTTGTCAACGAGTTTCGTTCATTGTTTTTGGTGAGAGAAATGTCCACGATTCTGTCCATGAATGAGGTCAAGAACAGTCTTTTGACGCAGCAAATTTAGAGCAATGTTTTTGTGTTTGTTTTTTTTTGTTTTGGTAGGACATTGCAGAGTAAACGCAGAGGAGCTCTACAATGTACTCCCCCCCCGCACCCCCACCCCCCTCTTCCCTCCCCAACAAAAAAAAGGGAAAAAAAACGCGGAGGAGCATAGATCCACTTTGTATAAAAAATATTGACAAGGATGACCTGAGAAGTTGGGGGATAAGTGAGATGACCTGCCTTCTTCCCCCAAATAGCAAGTACGGTCATTATGCCTGCATTTGGTGCTAGTTTCCGTCTAAATACAGTGATAATGACTGTACGTTCTATTCGGGGGGAAGATGGGAAGATGCGATGGCACACTTACAATCAAGATTCAACATGCGCGAAGATTCCTCGCCGCCTGCTGCGACATTTGCTGTGGTTATGCTGGCATTGCTTCGCGGCGAGAAGTTAGAAAACGCAGTTAATCTTGTACGTCTCAATAAGCCAGGTCCTCCAGCAGCCGCTTCTGGGGTGGCGACAACACCCACACCTCCGGCAGTCATGTTGCCATTCCAACACCCTCTGTGGCCCCCATCCTCTTGATCGGTCATCATTGCCAACGACGGCGCTGACGCTGACCCTGACGCCGGGGACGTCACAGTTGAAAGCCTACCGAGAGCTGCTGATGCGGGAGATATGTCTGAAGCCTCCTGGTTGTTTGTAGACCAGTCGGGCACCACCACAAGATCTTGGGAAGAATAACCATGGTTCTGGTTATGATGATGGTGGTCCTGCATGTGATGAGAATGATGCGGCCGGCAATCGAGAAGATGCAGATGCTTTTGACTTTGACTTTGACTTTGAATTGGACAAGCTTGGTGATGCCATTCCTCCTCATAATGGTCGTGATTGCTGATGCTCTGAGATTCTTCCACATGCTGACTAACACCATCCAATGGCTGCTTCTGCTGCTGAGGTTGGGCCTGCTGATGATCTTGATATGGACACAAATGCTGCTGCGGTTGGTTCTGATGCAGCTCTTCTTCTTGCTTTTGCTTATGCCATCTCATCGACATCTGTGCCATAGCGTGGGTGAACATTATACACTCAGCAACCACCTTCTCCTTCACCTCTTGTGGAAGAGCAGCGGCGGCTGCAACTGCAGCTTGCTCGGCAGATGACACCGACGTGGAAGAACTTGCACCACATGCGCCTCCTGACGAAGCCATCTCCAGCTGTGTCAGACCTGGGAGTATCTGTAATATGGCAGAAGCTAACGTGGCACTTTGAGGCGTGCACCGAACTGCCTGCGGCCTCACAGTCCCACTAACATGAGCCCCCGTGCGAGAGTGTATGCCATCTTGATGACAGAGACCTTTGATGCACCCACCACTACTGGGCCTTGCCTCCATTTCATCATCTTCTGAACCAGCTGTAGCTCCCAAGGCCAGTCCCAGGCCTAACCCCACAACAGGCTCGAGGTACGACTTCCCTCCTCGATCCCTGTCCCTTCTTCCACTCGTTGACGACGCTGTTGTTCGTCTCTGCTCCTCGCCCGGGTCTAGAAGATCAAGGGGAAGTGACCTATGTGGTCTTGCTAAGCCCGCTCCTCTACCGCATTCTCCCCCTTCCAATCCTGTACCTGAAGGTGTTGCCGAAGTCCTTATTGAAGTTGGCGATTTTGAGAAAGATGGCACATGCCCTCTTTCCAGAGGATTCAGCCTTGTTGAGAGAGAAAAGTCGGTCATGTGGCTGCTGGTTGCCCCCAGGTCCATGTCATTACCTGTGCACAGAGATAGAGTTGGACCTGGATCAAGGGACCTCATCATCATCAACGGTGATGGCGGAGAAGATGCCGTCGTGGTAGACGGGCTTTCGCCTTGAGAGAGAAACCCTCCACTCTCCAGGTCTTGCTTGTGACGTTTGCCTGACGAGACTGTGGGAATGGGAAGAGGAGGGGGTGGAGGCTGAGGATGCGGAGGACCTGCTGCTCCTTGCAGCGGGTAGACTCTTGATGCTAGTCCACGTACCCTCCGAGATAGTTCATTGCTCTGCAGGACAAGGTCTAGCTGACTTAGAGGGCTTCCCACCAACGGGCTCAGAGGTCCTGAAGGTGTTGTCGGGGTCCGAGGAAGGCAACCCACTGGGCTGGAACAGAAAGGCATCGGGGCTGATCACACGAACAAACATGCGCATACACGAACATGCACGCATGGTGCCGTCACCGATCCAAGAACCAGACACACACACACACACAAATACAGACATGTTAGAAATACCGTGCCAAGATAAGCAGGAAGAAGCCAAGGGAAGTGAAAAAAGAAAACAAACAGCGTGGAAAAGAGAAGAAAAACTTTGAAAAAGGGGAAAACCACGGAAGAGCACAGGCAGGAAGTGAATAAACTTTCTTTCTCAACTCTCTTGAATGCAACTGGTCGGCAGATGACCGAAAAGTAGTAAAGGCGTGACCCAAATCTGCTCCACACACTAAATAGTGAAAGGTTGCAGGTTTGTTATGAATGTATTTTACTGTCTTGACTCTTGACTTTTTTTTTTTTTTTTTAAACGCCGAATCCCTCATGTCATGAGGCCCCAACGATTCCCCCTCTCCTCGATATTCCCTGGCACACTTATTTTAACTATTTTGAGTATCCAGTACTATCCACTATATAACGGCTTCATGAGCATAACCATAAGGCTACGGTCTTAACCCGAAAATGACAAAGGGAAAGTTAAGGGAAAGTACGGAGTGTGGAATGAAGATGAAGGCAAAGGAGAGGATAAGAAAAGGTTCAAGAATGAGTCTGTCCTTGATATATATGTCACACATCTACATACTATATAGTACACAGTATTACACACACACACACACACACACAGAGAGAGAGAGAGAGAGAGAGAGAGAGAGAGA